GCACTGATAGGAGTGATTCCTGTGCACAGAGCCAGTGGGTCTCAGCCACTCCCACTTCCCCAGTCACAGAGAACTGATGTCCTTGCTAAGAGCCTGTAACTCTAGAGCAGCCTCCTGGCCCAGAGTGGGACCAGAAGGGTCACTCATTCCCCCTTCTTTACTGGCCAGATGGAAGCAAAGAGAGACCCACCATGCCAGGAACCATTGTCCTGATGCTAACCAGCTGGAAGCCGTGAAATGGGTTGTAAATAAAAGAGCATCAGGGAACAGGGATGTTCCACTCCCAGCTGTATCCTTTCCCCAGAACATCAATCCTTCCCATGTTCAGCCTACTAATCTAGAGAGACTGAAGCCATTCTCCTCGACCTCTCTCCACCCTGTCTCTCCCTGGAACATTATTAGTACTCTTAATTCTGAATGTTAAAAAGTAGCATCAGCAGGGCCATTACTGGACCATATGGCTTACTCCCTTTGTGCCCCACAGGACCAGCAGCCCTTTCCTCAAGTTGTCAGAGCGTCACCTGCAGGAGTTGTGCTGGGATCATTACCAGAACGTCTCGGCTATGCTTGGTTTCTCTGTGCAGTGTACAACCTGCACACTGTGAACTTAGGTTGTGAACTCCAGGGGCCACAGGACCATGCGATGGGGCTCTCGAGGGCCTGCACTTGGTACCAAAGGCAGAATAAGGTCATAGAGATAGTGCAGTGGGAAAGGCACTTGCCTAACACGTAACCATCCCCAGTTCGATTCCCAATATCCCATAGGGTCCCCCAAGCACCACCAGGAGTGAGCCCTGGACAGGAGCAGGCTCTGAGCACAGCACATTCTGTGGCCCCCCCCAAACCATACTGCAGATGCTAATATGTGCAAGTGGATGGCAGCAGACACTGGCATCCTGGGAACTTGTGTAGGAGAACGTGGTGGCTCCTGGCATAGTGCCTACCCTGGGTCCAGTTCCTGCCAAGTTGCTTTCCACATTCCCCACCAGGCACCTTTGGATTCCGGGACCACGTGCTCTGAGAGTGCACTGGTGGCCCTGCCGCCTTGGATCCCGTTGCTGCCACACAGAGTGTACAATCCCTGGCACACGTCAAAGCCAGATGAATTAATTAAAAATAGAAAGGTGGTGCATGCGGGCACATGATAAAGAGAGTGAGCAGAGATGCGTACTTATGACACTGTCAGCTCTTGAATGGAACCGAATAATCGAAGAGCACTGATGGGCTCCAACCACAGGCACTGCCAGCCTCCCTTCCCCGCCCCTCCCCTCCCCCCCCCCCCCCCCCCCGCTATCCCTGGCACTGCACTCCCCTAGGCAGTGGGGGTGGTTGCAGAGAGACACTCTACTAATGCCTGCAGCGGGCTGCTTGGCCGGGCTTCTAGGGAATGCCTACCACAAAGGGCCTACCCCCTCCCTCCCAGAGTGGCTTTCTGGGTCACCAGGGGGGTTGGCTCCCATCTGGGCCTCTTTGTCTGACTGTTTACTAACCCAAATGCCGTGGACTCAGAAGACACTGCTACAGAGAACGCCGTGTCCTGGACTGGCGTCCCGGTCTCCCTCAGCAGGGGGTGGGAGGGCAGCAGGAATGGAGAGTGTGTTTGCCCCTTAGTAATCTCTCTCCCATTGAGAGGAACCCCGGTCAGGACCTAAGAGCGCTCGCTCCAGCAGCATTCTCCTGGAGAACTCGCAAGAGTGGGTGCTGTCCCGTGATGTGGCCCCCACAAAGAATTTGCACAACCAACCTGTTTATAGAGAGCTGGGAGCCCGCAGTTACCAGAAATGAGCGTGAACCATGACTTGCCTAGAAAACACGACAGATGCAAGAGATTGTAGGAAGGAATATTTGAATCATGTCACTATACAGAGTTTGGTTCTCTTTCTTCCCCACGTTTTCATCTCACTCTCAGACCCTCTTGCACAGATATTGTGTACTTCCTCAACCACTTCCTGGAAGGAGGTGTGTCATGAATAAAGAGAACTCTGACAAAGCAATCACGTTGTTCCAGTATCTTCCAGTCCTGGTGGGGCTCTGCAGTCTAAAATATTATTTTATTTATTGGCGAGTGGTTGAGGGTCCCACTCAGTGGTGTTCAATGCTCAGAGGTCCTCCTGACACTGCTCAGGAGACCACATGCTGCTAGAAAGAAAACCTGGGCCTCCTGCATGTAAAGCATGTGTTCAGTTTGCCGTGCTCTCTCTCCAGCTCAAACACAGCCATGGCGCCATAGCAGGGCAGGTGTCTGTCCAGTGAGGAAGAGGAACATAAATTGCTTTAAGTTCCCAAGAGTGTGCTCTGGCTGGGGACTGGGGTCAGGGTGTCTTCTTCTGGGACAGCCAGATAGAAGAGGAAAGAAAGCAAGTGCAAGAGTCTGGGCTGAGTGGAGAGAAAGAAACTTGTAGAAGCAGGAGCTCTATGAAGAAAGAAAGGAAAGAGGAGAGAAAACTGTAATATATTCCCCTGAGACTGAGCTGACAGAAGGTGGATGATGAAGTCAGAGGACAAGAAGAAGGAAGAATTTGTTGGCTGAATGACAGGGGTGGTTTTGGGGGCCGGAGGAAGAACTCAGGGAAAATCTGCTCCCTGCGACCTGGCAGTAGGGTTGGAGGAATCTCATCATCCCTCCAATCATCCACAACCAGGGAAAGTGAATGGCAGCAGACACTGGCATCCTGGGAACTTGTGTAGGAGAATGTAGTGGCTCCTGGTACAGCCTTGGTCCAGGTTCCTGCCAAGTTGTTCTCCACATTCCCCATCAAGCACCTTTGCATTCCAGGGCTACATGCACTGAGAGTGCGCTGGCAGCCCTGCCGCCTTAGATTTCATTGCTGCCACTCAGAGTGTGCAATCCCTGGCACATCTCTGGCACATCTCAACCCGCCAAAGGGGTGTGAGCACCATCACCAAGTATGCAACTCCCAAAGCTACCACAATCAACAACATCAGCAACAGGAAAGAGATGGTGGGAATCGGGAACTTTAGGTTGGTACCACAGTCTGTCTTAGCACACACCTGGTTATCAGACAAGTTGCCTACACGTTGTGGGCCTCAGTTTCCTTACCTGCAACATGGGAATAATGGAATGTACCTGGTGGGGTGTCTGTGACGGGTGGGTGTTCCTACAGGGCCCAAAATAGGGCCGATGCTTTTCACACTATCATTGTTTCTTGGAGGGTGCATCCATAAGGAGTTCAAGGAAACAAAGCTGCTTCCTTTCATCCTGTCCCAGGCTCTGTGTCTGGTTCCGTGTGATTTGTATTCCTCCTTCTTGGTCATATTGACTCCTTATTTTAGCAGGAAAAGAATATTAGGGGGAGGGGTAGAGTTGCCTGAACCTCATGATTTTAATCAATGGCCTGGACCTATGGCCTCCCTCTCAGACACACATCAGAGTTGCAGGGGGGGCACCTGGAGGGAGGGCGGACCACCCAGAGGACAAGGAACCCTGCGGTTTGGCGGGTGTCCAGGGGGTGGAGCCAGAGAGTTGCCTAGGGCCTTGCTCTGTGTGACAAGGGCTATCAGCCGCTGCAGGCGGCCAGGCGGGAGGTCGGGATGAAGAGACCCATGTGCCCAGCCATTTAGAGAGATTTTGTTCTGTGAAATTTCAAGACACCTATGCCATGCTTTGCCCTAACGAAAGGAGCCAGGACACTGAAGTTTTAAGAAGAATGGGGAAGAGAGAGGCTTGTCGCCTACATTTAAAATGTTTGTCTCCTGACTTTTCAAAGGCAGCAGATTTGATCCGAGATTCTCACCTGGTAAAAGGAACATTCCACAGGACCATTTCTACTCTGTTATTTCCTGCCTGGGGGAAAGGGCAGGTTGATTTCCAGACAGCAAACTGGAGGCCCCTGGTCTCCTCACCCTCAAACCACGCCCCCTCCCCACCCAGGCCTCTCAGAGTCTCTATACCTTGTACAGAAACGGTGTCAAATGAAAGAGAAAATTTCAGCCCGAAGCACTCACGACTCTCCATATATCTGGATACCACTCAGAGGAGTTGTTGGGGGTGTGGGAGGGGGGACGTGCGGAGTGGTGTTAGGTTTAAGTAAGACTCTCTGGAGACTTGAGTTACAAACCTCCTGCCCCCAAGGATTTCAGAAGTTAGTGGAAACAGAAGTTAGAAACAACAGCTTGGAGAAGAGAAAGATGAGCCCCTGTTGGGTCAAGGCCTGGCAGAGACCCTGGAATGGTGTGGAAATGATGGCAGAGCCCTTGGCACCATGTTTGGGAGAGAGAGAGAGAGAGAGAGAGAGAGAGAGAGAGAGAGAGAGAGAGAGAGAGAGAGAGAGAGAGCCAGCAGGTAAGAGAAGGGACCAGTTCCTGGGCAATGCTTTGGCACTGTTGCCTACGGTGGGAGGAGAAAGCCAAGCAGGGCTACGCAGCGCGGGGCTCTGAGTATAAAACCACTGGGTGCCTCCTCCCAGCACTATCTCCTCCCTTTGAATAGAGCCCGGCAGGGCTTTATCAGCCAGTGCCTTCTGCCACCAGGAAACCAGCTGCGGTGAGTTCCCTGTTCTTTGTAGTCGGGGCAGGGGCTTGTTTGTCTCTTCGTCTTCTCTTCTTTCTACTCTTTTTGCCCTTCTTTGCGGGAGAAATAGGTTTCAGATGGTCCGGACTGCGTAGAAGCAGCCAGGGCAGGGTTCTGGAAGGCTAGAAAGCAATTTTCCATAGCCACCCGCTCCTTGCTGAGACATGGAAAGGGGTGTCTTTCATTCAGGATTCTGAAGCAGGGTGCAAGCACCCCCCTGACTTCCACAGGGAGCAGGATTTTCAGCCAGGCATCCTCCTAATGTGGAAAAATTGATTCTGGTCTTACCCACAGCAGTTTGGGGCTTTGATCTTGAAATAACTAAGTTGGAGATGTATCAATATGACTCAAAAAAAAAAAAAAACCCAGAAAATAAAGAAACCAGGGCACTGGGCAGGGCCCTTTCCAATTATGGTTTTATGCCCTGCCTGCATGCGCTGTCACGCTGAAAGAAGGAGGGACTGGTGGTGACAGTGAAGCCACGGAATTGGCAGAGTCTCTATAACTTGCACTTAACTGTTGTGGAATTCAGACCCCAAGGCTTCTTCGGAGCGGTGTGCTCTGAAGAGAAGTGTTTTAACCAGGAGCCAGGAATATTTGACAGCATTTTCTTTGTTTCCAATTACAGCGTTGAAGAAAACCGTCCCACTACTAAAATAAATAACTGCCTAAAATAAAGATTATTGTAAGTACCAAAGGAGGTCAGTGCTGGAAGACTATTGTGATAGGGCATGACTGTTTAAATGCTTTCTTTATGCAAAACTTGGGGGTTATTTTAAAATATGACGCTTGAGGCATAGCCAGACTTTCGGGTCTCTCCAACTTCAGATATTTCTAACGTGCTGCTCAGAGAATGATCTGTTTCATAGAATGCAACAGGAAACACCGGCCAATGAAATCTTGATGTTGCTTATTGTAGTGATGAGTAACCGCTTCATTCACTCGTGAGTGATCTGAGCTTGGAAAAGTGCTTTCTGGTGTGTGCCGGGAAGCTCCCGAAATATTCTTGGGATGTTGGCTTTAGCTTATTACAGTATTGGTGTGGAGAGATGAGTCCTAGGGGTGCACGCGGCTCATGTTGAGGCATGGGAAGATGTTTGTTAGACTCTTCTTTCTGCAGAGACAGTGGTGAAAGGGGACAGTTGAATTTGTGCTTGTTCAGCCCCCATAGTTAAACCAGGATGATTTCAAAGTGTCAGGGAGATCTTGCTGTGTTTGCTCCCTCATGTGAACCTAGACTTTGAAGAGCTGTTCCTTCACTCCTTGTCGGCTCAGAGAGAATCTTAGGCAGCATTAAGGGAACTGGCTCTGCTGAGTAAACTTGTATGGTCTCTACTCTGAACTGCGGGTCTTCCCTTCTGGAAAACAAAGACTTGTAGTGCGTGCTCTATAGAACCTCACCTGGCTTTCAGTTTTTTGCATCTTGTGACTCTGAACAAATTGTGGAGTTGAAGGATTTCACTGTATCCATGATATGTGTGATTTAAGTGGTGGGAAATATATAGGAACCTTTTAGACATGGAAAAGGTAAGTACCTGCACTGAGGGACTGTGACAGTTCCTGCTGCCTTTTATTTCTTTTCTTATTTTCTGTGGGTCAAAGGCATGCAGGTCCCTGGGCTGAGATCTCTATGCCTGCTCGGATCGGGGCTGAGCATCCTCCACCCAGATCCTCCAAATTCCAGTAGGCAGGGGTCACACCCACCAACTTCCCCCCCCACCCCCACGCCCTGTAATTCCATCAACGGCCAAGACCCAGAGACTATAAAACCCAGCTCCCGGAAGCAACATCTTATTATCTCATTCCTACTTTGGACAAACTGGCAGACTACCGAATGTAACCTGCCCACATGGCAGAGTCTGGCAAACTCCCCATGGTGTACCCAATATGTCAAATACCAGTAACAATGATAGGTCTCATTCTCCTAACTCTGAAAGAGCCTTGAATATGGCACTTTTAAAAAAATCTCAGGTCTAGGATGAAGGAGACGTTACTGGGGCCTGCTCGAGGTAATCAATGAATAACAGGATGGTCATAATCGTGATTTTCTGCGACCATGTATAACATGAAATATTATTCTACTGAATTGCTTATTGCTGTTCTCTATCAAACAAAAATATACCAAATGCAATTTGCAGAACCATAGTTTGTTACTTAACTAGCCAGGCGGTTTAATAATGGAATAAAAACACAGACACACAATTCATTTCTAAGACATGTCATATTTTCCACCATTATGGAGTTTTCTGAATCACTTAGTTGAGTATAAGTTTTTCACATTCAAACCAAGCCAGTAGAAAAAAGTAAAAATTTAAAGGGGAAGAAAAAAGAGAGATACCAGACATACAACTTTTCTAGAATACAACTTTTCTTTTATTTATTTGGGGACCATACCCAACTGGGCTCAGAGCTTACTCCTGGCTCTTCACTTAGGCACCACTCCTGGAGGTGCTCGGGGGACCACGTGTGGGTACACGGGATTGAACCTAGTCAGCCACATGAAAGGCAAGCGTCTTACACACTGTACTATCTCTCTGGCTCAATAAAAATATATATTTTTTAAAAGGACAAAAAAATTGGAGACACAACCTCACTAACTGAGCACAAGCTTTGCAGGAAGCCCGAGTTCCATTTGACACCACAAGATCCCCCAAACACCTTTGGGAACCATCCTGAGGACCCCTCAGCACCACTGGGTGTGGTCCCAAAACCACATAAACACCAAACAAATGAGAAAGAAGGAAAAAAGAAATTTATAGTCATTACACTTGTTGAACTCCACTAAGTACACAATATTGTTTATTAATATTTTTAATTTTTATTGATTGCAATTTTGTGGTTTACAATACTATTAATAATGGCTTCTTGTGCACATAATTTCAAAATCACACCATCACTAGTGTGCTGTTTTGCTGATTATTAAGTTTATGCCAAGTATTTAATAATTATTATTTAAATATGAGACAAAATGCCATTTAACAGTCTTTTTATTATTAATTTATTTGGCTTGGGGGCTACACCTGGCTGTGCTCAGCACTTACATCTGGCCCTGCGCTCAGGGATCATTCCTGGTCAGGCTCAGAGGATGACCATATGTGCTGCCAGGGATTGAACCCTGCTAGGTTGCATGCAAGAGAAGAGAAGTTCCTTTTCCATTGTGCTATCACTCCAGCTCCCCTAACAGTCTTTCAGACTGGCATTATGCTGTGCAATCAATGTTTGATTACCAAGTAAATATACATATATATTATATAAAACTAAATAAATGTATTATAAATATATATTATATATAATTTAGTATGGTTCTGGAGCCACGGGTGCATTTCCATATTTCCGTGATTATGGCTGGGGGCTGGAGCAATAGTACAGCAGGGAGGGCGTTTGCTTTGCAAGTGGCCGACCCAGGTTTGATCCCCGTATGGTCCCCTGAGCAACGCCAGGAGCAATTCCTGAATGCAAAGCCAGGAATAAGTCCTGAGCATATAGCTGGGTGTGGCCCCCTTCTCCCCCCAAAAAATGTCCATGAATGTGGCACACCACATAAAGTATGTCATAGCAAGCCACCAACCCTAGACAACCACGAAAAGAAAATCAATCAACTGTAGCAAGGAAATAAGGTGCTGCTTATTTTCCTTTTCTTTTGTTTTTAGTAGTAATATATCTTTTTAAAAGATTCTTATTTTTCCTATGTAACCCTCAGGGGCTCAGGGTTCCTGGAGTGTGCAATACCAGACAACAACAACAAAGAGAAAGTCAATCCACAGCAGCAAGCAAATAAGGTGGGGGGTTTTGTTTGCTTGCTTTATGTTGTGTTGTTTTTAGTAGTACACGTATCTTTTTAGAAGACTTATTTATACTGTGTATTTGAGGGATTCGGGGTTCCTGGGGTGAATGACTCCCAGGGACTCAGTCAAGAGGCTGCAGAGTTCTAAGGGATGGGGGTGGGGAGCTGGGGGCGCCTGGGGCACAGTGCCAGGACCTCCCAGGCCAATCCCAGGATTGGGGGGGGGGCAGTCTGTGCAACACGGGGGCATCCCGGCACTAAAAGAGAATAATATGACAGGAAATAGAATCATGTCACAGGAAGTAGACCCCGCAAGGGACCTTGTGGCACCTGTAAATAACCAAACGGCAGTTTGGGTTATTGCATTACCAAAGTGGAACCTTAAGTATTGCCTTGGCAAGCTCCCCCGCCCCCGGTCTCCCCTAGTAATGAAACCCAACCTCCATGACCTCCCAGAGAAGAACAGCCTAAAGCAGCATCTGCGTGCTTGGGGCTCTCCTCCTTTCCATGTCTTTCTCGGGTCTTATCGCAAAGCCAGGGATGCCCTCCCCCAGCCCCCGGGTGGAGGTTTGTTCTAGGGTTCTCCGGCATCGAGAGAGGGAAGGCAACCCTGGCTGTCCCCGTCAGAATTGTGGTGCAGACATGCGAGGGTTTGGGACTGAGTCTTGCTGCCATGCTCTGGGCGCTGTTTTGTTCCCAAATGAAATGCACCCTGGGCTCAGCAGCTTAGCTCCTGTGGATGGAGAGGTTCGCCAGGTTCCTGGGGAAGGCTCTCTGGCTAGGAGGCGCTCGCTGCTTCTAGAACCTGCCTGCACACCTCGTGCATTGCACGTGCTCCTTCCTCAAGACCCTCCCCCCCCCACCCTGCACCCCCCAGCACAAAATACTCTGGGTCCAGGAGAGAAAGGAATATCTGAACAGGCTTTGATGCCCCGCGCTGGTACCATTCCCTCACGGTCCTCTCCGGGCAGACGTTTTAGAGCATAAAGCCTGCCCCCCCCCCAGAGATCACAGCTGGCTAAAATTAAGAATGGCCTGTGGGGTCCAGAGCAGCCGCACTCCCTGCATTACAGCTGCTGGCCCTGGGAATGTCTTCCTGCACCCCAAGTTTAGGGCGCCTTCTGAGCAGGTCTGCGCCTGGTATGATGCCCAGGGCTATGCCTGATGCCCTTGGTCCAGAGAGACACATGGCACTCGCCTTGCTAGACTGATGGAACTGTACGGAATTTGTTTGTTTTGTTTGGGGACCACACCTGGCAGTACTTGGGGCTTACTTCTGGTACTTGGCTCAGGCATCATTCCTGGCAGGGCTTGTGGGAGTGTATGTGGTGCCAGAGATGGAACCTAAGTCAGCTGTGCACAAGGCAAATGCCTTAATGCTATCTCCCCAGCTCACTGCATGGAATTTTGACAACTGGGAAAGAAAGGGGAAGCTCACTACAGACTTTCAGTGCACCCAGTCTTTTGTATGTTGTTGGAATTGCTTGCTTTTATTTTCCCCTTAATCTTGAATTCCAGTTAGGCTGTGGGTTTTTAAAGTTTTCTAAAGAAATACCAGTACCTAGTGTGACATGTTAAGGTGAACTATAGCTTAAAGTTACTAGTTTCTCATGGCCAGTTCTCAAGCCTAAGCTTTTTTCTCCCCACTTTATTTAAACTCTGTGGCTTACAAAGGTGTTCATGATGATTTGTTATAGCACTTTGTATTCAAACACCAATCCCACCACCACTCTCATCGTCCCTCCATCATTGTCTCCATTTTCCCAACAACTCCTCAAGCCTGTACCTGTAGCAGGCCCACAGAAATTTATTTTTTATTGCTTGTTACTACTGACAGCTTAACAGAATGATTAAAAAATATTTCTATAGAAGAAAATTTGTGAAAGTTGTTGTATCTCACCATGGGAACATTAATTCCTTGTCTGAGGGTTTACTAAGCTGATGTTGCAAGTTAAATCTTCTGTGTTCATGTTTTGTTAGTTAATATTGTTTGGCTTCTATATTACATCCATCCAATCCAGTGCTATATTGTGTGTGTTGTTGAAGAGTTTGGAGATGTCTGGAGATGTCACAAATGTGGCCACATGTTACAGAAAATCCAGAATGTTTCACTGTGCCATCTGTAAGGCTCAGTTCTGAGGTGGCAGAATCCTGCCAGAGGCATGGTGGCAGTTTTGGGTTGTGGAAATGGCTGCCTGGGCTTTGGTAGGGCAGAAGCTAGCCTGCCCCCTCCTGAGATTGCCCTGAAGGTCTCGGCCAGGAAAGGGTGTCTGAGAAATTTCAGCAGCTTGTTGATCTCTTTTGAGATTTATTTATGAGTCAGGTCTGAGTTTTGGAACAAATAGTCAAGGCTTCCTGGGGCTCAGAGGGGACTCACTGTATATAACAAATGGTTCTCTGAGGGGCAAGGAGATTGCTCCGTCAGCTGAGAGCAGGAGGTGGGGTTAGAGCTCCAGCACCACCTGGTGCATCTCCCTCCACCCCCACCACACCCCCAGATAAATAAATGGTTCCCTGGGGCAACCAACAGTCACTGTCCATCCTGGAAGATCTCTCTCACTGGCATCTGAATATCCTCTACTTCACCTCAGTCTATGGATGTTGGAGTGACATATGGCAATATGACCTCTCTATTAGGCTATGCCTTCAGACAAGAAAAGTTCAGTCTTGACTTAACTGCAGGTCAGGGTGGGGGGAGGGAATTCTAGCCACCCAGGTTCTCAATCAGGTCTGGCCTGTTATATTATCAAGTTTCACATCTGTATCTCCAGATCTAGGAGGTGATGTATTTAAAATGCTCTAAAATAAATAGGCATGTACCGGAAGTTTTGCAAACATGAATTTTTTCACCTGTAATAACTCTTATACATAATTGCTTCTGCAGGGGATAAAAATGCCACTTTTCTGATTTTATTCATTGCTCCCTGCTGTAGAACTTGACGAACTCAGTAACAGAAACTCAGCAGTTATAGTTGAGCTGTTTGGGGTGCTTTGTTTGTTTGATTTGGTTTGGGGGGCATTCCTGCTAGTGCTCAGGCTAATTCCTAGTCCTGCACTCAGGGATCACCCCTGGAGGGGTTGGGGAACAATATGGGGTTCTGGGGATTTAACCTAAGTAAACCAGGTGCAAAGCAAGCATGCTATCCATTGTACTACCACTCTAGCCCCCGCTGGGCTGTTGAGAGTGTGTGTGTGTGTGTGTGTGTGTGTGTGTGTGTGTGTGTGTGTGTTTTCCGAGAATTAAACCTAGGTCTCATACATGCAAGACAAGTGCTCTAATCACTGAACTATATGTGTGACTTAAAAAAAATTTTTTAAAAATCCTTCCTGGGGCCAAGAGATATGTCAAAGGGTTGAAACACATGCCCAGTTGGCACCTCCAGGTATTATCCGAATAGCCCCCAAGTATAGGAAGATGTGACCCCTGGACCCCAGCACTACTGATGAGCTCCCACTGCCAGGTAAAGATAAAATAATTTCTCGGATAAGACTATAGCTCCAGTAGATATGAAATCTTGAATCCTGTGCTCCCTTTCGCACTCCCCACACACAGACCCTTAATGAAAATCTTCATAAGAGAACTCACTAATGATGGTGGCTAACACTGTTTTGCCCAGCAAAATTAGCTTTGTTCAGAACAGGATGCATAAATCACTCCTTTATGTAATGATTAGTGGTCTGCCATTGTTTCGAAGTGAGATGGCGAGTTGCCCCCATTGGTTTCCGTCCTGGGATTAATAGAAAGTCCGACTAGAGTCAGGAATTTTCTTAAAGGGCATAACTTTTTATCTGTTGATAACAATTTGTTGGCTCTGATAAATGAAGCAGTGTTAGAGCCCCAAGGAGCTGAGCATACACCTCCCTTCCAGTGAGGCCATGGGATACAATGGGTGATTTAGCTGCATGAGCTGGGGGTGGTTCCTTGGCACATCCCAGGCACCTACAGAGCCAACATTCACCATTAGGCTTTCAGGGTTTAGAGGTGTGGCATGCCCTATACTCACCTGGCCAGGATCTTGACTTACCTTACACACAAGGTGTTTTTTCCCTTGGCTTTCTTTTTACCCTCACTGGGATCCCATACTCAGTATCCTTTTGTAACTGTCCTTGACGCCAGGACCCCTTCCTTCCTTTTTGTCTGCCAAACTGTAGAGTTCCATGGTCTGATGCTCTGAAGGCAAACTCATTATTTCTATTGTTCAGGACATTGGAAGAGCATCTGAGTGAGCACAGCCACAGTTAGACTTAGCTTACCTGGAGCACATTTCCTGTCTCCATGCCTTGGCCATTCCCTTTCCTTTGATTCCCCCTACCCTCACAATTTCCCTTGGTTGTTGTGATGGCTGAGGGTTACACACCTCCTTGGTTGTGGAGCTTGAGCTTCCAATGACGATGCTTGAACACCTGTCTCAGTACTCATAGAGGTCATGCACATGAAAGCCAAGATGCTTGTGTGCATTATGCTCACACAAAGCTCATGTGACATCACTGTAGTATTTATACACATGCTATGGAAGTTGGCCAGGTGCTCACACTCATGCTTGTGGGGGTGCTCTCACACACACACACATACTCTCTCAGGGTTGCACCTTTGGCATTGAGCTCAAGAACCTTTAGTTGTGGTGCTATCTGAGGATCACACACTCGATTTGTGCTCGTCCACACTTAGTTGTGCCCCAGAGATGGTGCACTCAGCTGAAGTGTCAGGCCAGTCCCACACAGCAGAGCTTCCAGGACCACATTTGTGCGTGTGGACTGCACCAGGGATGGAACTTATGACCTCACAGTGAAAAGGAGGAAATTTTGCTGCTGAACCATGCCTGGATCTCACGTAATTTCTTATATTACAGCCCTATGGTTTCCAGCAACTCTGTCTGCCTCCACCTTCTCTAGCTCCTAGACCTTCATAGATAATTATTCTTGCATATAAATAAAATGATGTAGCTGGGGCAGTTTACCTGGGTTGAGAATCTAGTCAAACCATCTTGACTTGAAGAATCTCTATCATAGGTTATACAGTCTGTATTGACACATACTGTTTTGAAACATTTTTGTTCCTTTCCAATCTTTGAACTATAAAACTCTCTTTTTTAAGATGAAATTTTAATTTCCGAAGACTGCTTGTCTTTAAAAGCAGTGGATTTGTCTGTGTTGGTGAGCAGATCATGTGGTCACTTGGTCCCTGGTTCTTGTGTCAACAACGGGCAGCTTAAGCATTGGAACTTAGCCCTTTTGACGTTTTTCTTTTTGACTCATTTCATTGAAACTCCCAATTTTTCCATCTTTCTCAGTAGATGGAGTCTTTTGTGGATGGCATGTAGTAAGGTGCTTAATCAATATGTGTTAAACCAGAACTAGAACTTGATGAGATATAAGGCCAGAAATGTGTCTTGGTAGTAGTGACAGTAAAGGTAGGAGGGGCTTGAGGTGAGGATGATGCTAAAGGAATGATGCCAAGGTCCAGAAGAAGTTCCTTTAAGTCTCTGACTGCTCTGCCCAGACCCATCACCAGGCAGTCCGAGGTGTTCTGCATCAGGGATTGAAGAAATCCTGTTCTTTTCAAGAAGCCTGAGAAAGAGGAAGCAAACCTCATGGAGGACAGTACCAGGATGGAGAAAGAGGACTCAAGTGAAAGCCAGATGTCAGCATATCAAAGGAGACGGTGCATCCCCAGGGTGCTAACCTACGTCACTGGGGATATGAGAGAGCTTGCCGACTGGCTGAAAGGTATGTGTGCCTCCAGTCCTCAGAGAGTAGGGACAGTGACTTTAGGAAGCTGTTTTGCTGGTTCTTCAACTTCAATCTTTAATTTTAGTCTCCTGCCTTAATTTTTTAAGCACAGAAAAATGTTTGCTTTCAAACATGATTCCTTTATTTATGTAGCAATGTAGCACTGTCCTCCTGCTGTTCATCGATTTGTTCGAGCGGGCACCAGTAATGTCTCACAACAAATTGTGAGACTTGTTGTTACTGTTTTTGGCATATTGGATATGTCACGGGTAGCTTGCCAGGCTTTGCCCTGAGGGCGAGGTACTCTTGGTAGCTTGCCGGGCTCTCTCCGAGAAGGGCAGAGGAATCGAGCCCGGCCAGGTGGGCCTCATGCAAGGCAAACGCCCTCCCCACTGTGCTACTTATTTTTACTTTATGTTGAGATGATCACAACATGAAATCTACCCTCTTAACAAATTTTTTAATTTAAGGGGCCATGATTTATAAATTTGTATGTGATAGGTTTTCAGGCATATGTTGTTTCAATACCACTCTCACTACAGTGTCAATTTCTCTCTGACAATGATCCCAGGTTTCCTTCTATCCCCAGTCTGCCTCCTTAGCAGGCACATTTTAAAGTGTATTTATAAAAGTTTGGGGCTCCTTTTGGCAGTGTTGTTGGCTCTGTGACTTAGAGATATGCCTACACCTCACCTCTATACTACTGATGTAACAAGGTCGCTGGCCCCTGCCCCTGTTGCCCCCCTACTTCTTACTCCCCCTCCCCACCCCTCCATTTCTTTCCTTCACTGCTCTCATTTCTTTCATCTTCCCCTACCTTTTAAAATGTATTTCTTTCTTTCCTATTTTGTAACATTTTTTTGGAGGGGGGATAGGAGATTCAGCCACACCCAGCTGTGGTCAGGGATCACTTCTAGTAGTACTCAGAGGACTCAGTGTCAGGGGTCCAATCTGGATCAGCCACGTGCAAGGCCAAGTACTTTACCCAGTATAATATCTCTCTGGCTTCTGTTTTATAACATTTTAAATGGTCCCTTCACAACCTGGCTCTAACCCATAACTTTATTTCTTGAAAACTGATGGTTTAGAGTCAGGAGCTATCATAGCAGTTAGGGCACACGCTAGACTGGATCCTCAGCAACTCTTGGCTTCCCAAGCGACACTGGAGATAGCCCTGGGGGACCCCTGCTCTTAGCACTACAAGGACATAGCAGCATTGCATCCTTATACCCTAGCATTTGTCAAAATCACCAGGAGTAACCCCTGAACACCTTTAAACTAAAAATTCAAGGGCCTGGAATATAGCTCAGTGGTATGGCATGCTCCTTTGTGTGTCTGAAGCCCTGGGTTCAATTCTTTTTTTTTTCTTTTTGGGTCACACCCGGCAACGTACAGGGGTTACTTCTGGATCTGCACTCAGGAATTACTCCTGGCGGTGCTCAGGGGATTATATGGGATGCTGGGAATTGAACCCGGATCGGCCGCATGCAAGGCAAACGCCCTACCCACTGTGCTATTGCTCCAGTCCCAGCCTGGGTTCAATTCTTACATCGCCAACCCACAAACCCTGAAATTGGACGGTGTGTAATTCTTTTTTTTTTTATTTAAATCTGTCTCTCTGAGCATAGTAAATCAGTGTGCTCTAGACTTCCTGAAGCTCAGGTTCTAGAAGGGTTTGTGTGGGTAAGCCTAAAGCTTTCAGAGACTGGGAATCTCTAAAGGATACAGAGAGAGCTTTAAGGAATTGAAAATCGTTTTCACTTTCATTCAAGGAGGAGTTGATGGTTTTACTCAGAACTTAGAAAGTTGTTTTTCTCAGGATGATTCCTGGACTTAGTGTCTTGCACCCAATTTCTTAATCCCATTGATTTTGTGTCTTCCAGACAAACCCCCGCTGCTCCAGTTCGTTGACTGGATTCTTCGGGGCATATCCCAAGTGGTCTTCATCAACAACCCCATCAGTGGAATACTGATTCTGGTGGGGCTCCTGGTGCAGAGCCCGTGGTTGGCTCTCAACGGCTGTGTGGGAACGGTGGTGTCCACCCTGACGGCCCTCTTACTCAGTCAGGACAGGTAGGTGTGACCCTCTAGCCTGAGAACACAGGAAACCCATGAGTGATTTGGGGCAATAAAGCCCCACCCTTCTCAGGATAAAAAAAAAAAAAAAAAAGAAAGATCTTTGTCTCAGAGAACTCTCTATTTGCCTTTAGTCAGGACTAAAAGAATCATTTATAACCTTTTCTTCATGGCACTTGGAGAGGTGGCCAGTCTACATGAACCTAGGTTCTCATGTCAGCGCATGGTAACCAGAACTAATCTACGCTTAATTCCCAAGAAGTGTCTAAAAAAACATTGTTGGATGCCTGATCAATTATTTCTTAACATTTTTATGAGGAAATATGTCTATGTCTCTGGAGCCAGAGAAATAGTACAGTGGGAAGGTATTTGCCTTGCGTGTGGCTGATCCAGATATGAGACCCTTTCATTGCATGTGGTCAACCCAGGTTTGATCCCTGGAATCCCATATAGTCCCCTGAGCATCAACAGGAGTGATTGCTGAATGTAGAGCCAAGTGTAATCCCTGAACAATGCCAGGTGTGGCACAAAAACAAACAAAAAATATATCTATGTGTTCATGGAGAAAAAATGTCTTAGTGGTTTGAGAGTCCCGATGATAGTTTGTTCCCATGATTATTTTAGCAAAATCATTCTTCATAAATAGTGCAAAGGTTGGCTCAGCTTATAGAGACATGAATGACCACAAATTACAAGTTCTGACTTAGGAGAGTATTGAGGGGTCTTCCGAAATATGTAGCACTATAGCACTGTCCTCTCATTGTTCATCGATTTGCTCGAGCAGGCACCAGTAACATTGTGAGACGTGTTACTGTTTTTGGCATATCGAATACACCACGGGCAGCTTTCCAGGCTCTGCTGTGCAGATGAGATATAATAAGTATTTTATATCCCCATTCAATGGTTCCATCATTGAATGGGGAGTGAGTTTACTCCTCTAGGCAGAAGACAGCTAACTCCTGAATAACCAGTTCAGTCTTCCAAGTGCCTGAGATCAATGCCTAGTTCCCAGAAGATGGTCCACAGACAACTAAACTCTTTTAACTTTACTGAAAATTGCCTAAAGAGGTTCTCAGAAGAGTCAGTCAATATTCCACTTTCCCAACAAGTCAAGGAACCTGAATTTTCCTCTGTCAGTGATGATTTTGTTATCTTAGTTTAAACCCTATTCTAAGGCTTGTGAGAAAAAGAAATGGACTTTATAGTTTGGGAGTGGGTACACATTTGTGCCATATTGAATAAATTCCTTCATTGCTTTGCTCCAGCATGACCTGCTTTCCTAATCAGGTTCTGCTTAGAAGACCAGCCATGGCTGCAGGTGTTAGTTTGCAGACCTCCGTGGTAGACATTCTAAAGTGCATTTAAGTCACATGAATGTGGTGATTTCTATCTTAAGAGAACGCATTCTATGGCTGTAAGGCTGTCATTCTGCGACCTGCAGACATTGCACTCATTTTCTGTTGAGCACATCCATGCACTTAATCTCCAGGTAGTTGCGGGGAGGACAAGTCTTTGCACAGCTCCACCCTGTCATCGGAGAGTCCCAGTGTCTAGAGGGCATTAGCACTTCCTGAGCTAACCCGATACAAATTTCTCCACCTCCCACATGTCCTGAGGGATAATTTAAGGGAGACAATGGACTCTAGAACAGGAATCCCACCTCTCTTCTCTCCCTGGATGAATGGAAGTGATGTCACCTTTCTGTTGATCTGGAGACTCCATGTCAGAGCAAGCCAAGAAGACACTCTTATGCCATCATGTCACCTGGTCCCACCCTGTGCAGTGGCTCTAGACTGCTTCACCTCCCCCTCAGGTCCTGCACTAGACCCCACCCCCTCCCTTTACCATGTTCACACCCATCTTCACAGTTGCAGCCCCAAAGACTTTTACCATGAGTGAGCCTTCACAGAGCTCTCCTTTGTCACATCTCAGAAGCTCAGGAGATCTTGCTTGTCAACGGTTTTACTCAGTAAGTAGGCTGGAGAGATTGTAGAGCCAATTAGGCATTTGCCTTGCACAGAGTGTACACAGGTTTCATCTCTGATACTGCATATGATCCCTGAACATTACCAGGAGCTATCCTTTTTTTTTTTTTTTTTTTTTTGCTTTTTGGGTCACACCCTGCGATGCTCAGGGGTTTCTCCTGGCTTATGCACTCAGGAATTACTCCTGGCGGTGCTCGGGGGACCATATGGGATGCTGGGAATCAAACCTGGGTCGGCCGTGTTGGCTGCGTGTAAGGCAAACGCCCTACCCACTGTGCTATCGCTCCAGCCCCCAGGAGCTATCTTTGAGCACAAAGCTAGGCATAAGCACTGGGCACAGCTGGGCACAGCTGGTCCAAGCCATCATGCCACACACAAGCCATCCATACACACACAAAAGAATTATTCTGAAGAGGTCAGAGATATAGTAGAGGATAAAGATGCTTGCTTTGCATGCAACCAATTTGAATCCCCAGCACCACATATGGTCCCCTGAGCACTGCCAGGAGTCAGTCCTGAGCAGAGAGCCAGAACTGGTCCCTGAGCATGATAGGGTGTGACTCCAAACCCCTCTCTTTCCCCCAGTAAATTATTCTATTAAAAACATTCTGCTCTTACCAGCGGGAAAATTACCAATAGAAACTTCCCCATAGGACTTTTTGGGTGTTTTGTTTACTTGTTTTTGAATTTATTTGAAACACCATGATTTACAATACCATTTATGATAGGGTCTCATGCATATAACATTCCAGCCCCGTACTCTCTACCGCCAATGTCTGCTTCCCTCCACCATTATCTCAGTGGAGGACAACTTTTATAAGTGAGATTAAATTCTGTGAAGTAAAACAGACATTAAAAAGCCATAGGTGTGGGCTGGAGAGATAGCACAGCGGGTAGGGCATTTGCTTTGCACGCGGCCAACCTGGGTTCGACTCTCAGCATCCCATATGGTCCCCTGAGCACCGCCAGGAGTAACTCCTGACTGCGGAGCCAGGAGTAACCCCTGTGTATCGCCGGGTGTGACCCAAAAAGAAAAAAAGAAGCTATAGGTGTGAACTCAGCAGACATTCCATAGAATCCCTTTGCCAAAGGCGAAGTCATTGTTTTTCTCTGTAATCATGTGAAAATATATACTCAGAGGTAAACTGGATGCCCTGGAAGATGAAAATATATGCTGAGTTGGAAGATGAATGCTAGTGAGTTCAAAGACACTTATGAAAGTAAATTTACTTTTCAAGCATCTTACATCTTGCACCAAGAAAATCAGACATAGGAAACAGTTTCATGTAAAAGTTCCATTCAAGTCAGTGGCCTTTAATGATTTAAAAAAAATACTAACTTTTCAAAGGAAAGGCTGAAAGGAAGCAGAACGGGTTGCTAATTTCCTTTTCCTCCCCTCGATGCTAGAATTTCTATCTTTAGCTGGGATGCCTGAGTCCGGGAGTCACTATCTGCACATTTGTGTTTTTAGCTGTGTCTGTTGCACCTTATCAGTATTCGTGTGGTTCTTTATAAATTTTGAAATTTATTGTTAGGTAATCACCTCATTTTCTCATTAAGATCTGGAAGCTATGCCCATCATTAATTAGGGAGCCAGCCCAAGTGCGACTGTCCCCACCCTCAAAACTATCGTTGTTCCTCTTGTGCTCAGGGCAGCCATAGCGGCAGGGCTCCATGGCTACAACGCCACGCTGGTGGGGATCCTCATGGCTGTCTTCTCAGACAAGGGAGAATATTTCTGGCTGCTGTTAATCCCCGTGACTCTGATGTCTATGACGTGGTAAGTTGTACCTGGTTTTCAAACATGTTTTAAAAATAAGGATGAGGTGGTGCAGTGGGGGGAAGGAATGGGGAGTTGCTGTTTAAAGGGTGCAGCGGTTTGATTTTATAAGACAAAAACTGTGGATGGAGTTGGAGTTGATGGCTGTTCAAAAATGTGTCCTCAAAGCTCCTGAGCTGCACCCTTGAAACTCATGAAGGGACCAGGGAGATGACTCAAATAATAGAACACATGCCGAGGCTGGGCACGGCTCTGCTTTGATGCCTGATCCTGTGTGTCCCTGAGCTTCCCAGCTCAGCTAGCTGTGGTCTCTATAAAAAAAAAATTAAAGTCAGTATATGGTCAGTTTGAAGTGCTCTACATTGTACACATTCTTTGGGGAGAAACAATAAATAGAGATTCAAAGTGTGTCTGTCAGAATCTACTGGTGCATATGATTTTTCCACATACTCCTTGTCCACCAAGATTTTAATGTAATGGTCTGGGAATTGCCCTGGCAGTGGCAATTCTAACTGTTCTCCAGAGAATTCTAAAGGTCTCCAAGAGCTGAATCCACTTCCTAGGTCAGAGGTCATCAAAACTGCCCACTCTGAGAGTCAATGACTGTTTCTCTCCAGTCCTGAGGTTGACTTGGTCAGTCTAGGGCGGGGCCTCAGGGCATGCTTTTCTCAAAGGTTCCCAGCTCAAGCTGGTGTGACTAACCCAGGAACCCCACTCTGAGAGCGTGTCTCGATAAACTTAACCACTTGCCTTGCTCCCTTCTAAAAATGCTCTTTATTGAATTGAATTCAATTCTATTTTTTTAATTGACCCTAAATTCTTTAAACTAGTTTCTGTGTTGACATGATCTTAAATCCTTTTTCTAGAAGTCAGAATTCCTTTCTACTATGGTGTATTTAGAATTAAATTACGAGGAGTTGGAGAAATAGCACAGGGGTAAGAGCAGTTGCCTTGAAAGCAGCAAGTCCCAGATCCATCCCCACCACTGCATGGTCCCCTGAGCACAATCCTCGAGGAATCGCCCCAAGTATGACCCCCAAACATAAAGAAGTAAAACAGGAATAAGGCTACATGTGAGAAGCACGGCCTCCTATGGGCAATGTCTGTGACCTGCCCACCATTATTATGTGATTTGCTCTTAAGTGGTGGTTCCAAGTCTGGGAGACCATGAGAGCAAACCCAAGGAGTCCCAGATCATGGGATCTAATCACCGTTCACAGACAGGGAAACAGCAGCTTTCCCATGGTCCACCCACTGTTTCAGGGTCTCTCTGCCCCTGCCTGCACACTCTGGACAATTGTTTCTGTTTCAGAATAGATATTCTAATGACTTATGAAAGGGCTGAAGTGGGAACTCAATGGATTGAGTGCACAGTTTGCCTGTGGGAGGCCCAGGTTTGATCCCTGAGCATTACTGGGTTCCACCACCACCTCACCCCCCAAAAAGCCATTAAAAATACTAGTGGCAATGATGTCAAGTCCAAGGTTTTGTCAGGAAAGTTAAATTACTCCAGCATATAAAGATTTTCTTCATCTGCCTGACTTCTCTTCCTCTGGGTTATTTCTGTTTTCAGCCCAATTTTCTCAAGTGCACTGGGCTCCGTGTTTTGCAAATGGGACCTGCCTGTCTTCACCCTGCCCTTCAACATGGCGCTGTCCATGTACCTGTTGGCCACAGGACATTACAATCCCTTCTTCCCAACCATACTGTTCACACCTGTAAGCACCGTTCCCAATGTCACCTGGTCTGAGCTCAGCGCCCCGCTGGTAAGAGACACAACTTTCTCAGATGGACTTATCTATGGGTGTCATTTCCTCCAATTCTCCTGCCTTCTTCCAACTCCAAAGTGTTACTGTCCATGAACCTCCCACCTTTCCCTAACTCCTGGAGAACTGTCCTCCATTGGAAGCCAAACATGCCATGCAAATATTGCCCTAGTTTGGTTGAGTGTAAATGAGAGCCAGTGCTTGCTAACAGAGCACTCCAGCCCAGATTTAAGTCTTCTACAGTCTGCCTCCTTTCATCAAGGAGGTGCTTCCATTAGATCTCATTATGGAACAGCTCTATTCTGTTTTTCCTTAGAGTCAATCTCATAAAATATGTACAAGAGTTCAGGATTGCTTCTCCGCTTTGGCAGATATCAGAATCATTGTTCTGTTTGATTGTTTTGTTTTACTGAGGTAACTGGTTTATATAACCGTATATGCCTGTGGGTACATTTCCACACCTCTTTAAAATATACATTGTGCCTAGGTTGACCCAGTTTTGAGGGTGGGGGTGGGAACAGTTTCCTTCTAGCCTTCACATCCATAGTCAAATTGCAGGGAGTAATACTCTTTCCGTGTACATAGACATGTCTGGCTCCATATCCTGATCTCATGCCTTAGAAAAGTCCAGGGAGATAGAAGTGTAATCTGGGATTTCTTCCATCCTCAGTGCAATGTATGTGTGTGTATGTGTGTGTGTGTGTGTGTGCATGTGTGCTTGCGCATGCGTGTATGCATATGTATGCATGTGTGTGTGTGTGTGTGTGTGTGTGTGTGTGGGGTGGTAGCAAGACTACCCTAGAAACTTATCAGCCAGTGGAGCAGAGTGTCAATGTGTGATGGGTCAGGAATAGAAAGGCATTTGGAGAAGGTGTGCCTTCCTGGCACCAGGGAAGGGTGGGTGTGTCTCAGGATGAAGCAGAGCAAGTTGGGTTTTTCCTTAGTGAAAGAGATTCTTGTGGTTGCTAGAATAAATCCATGACTGCACCCCATGTGTTTGTGGGTATCCAGTAGGTTTCCATCCCACCGTTTTAATCCCTTCCTTTTCTACATGGCTTTTGTAGCTGTTGAAAGCTGTGCCTGTGGGGATCAGTCAGATCTACGGCTGTAATAGCCCGTGGACTGGAGGCATCTTCCTGTGCGCCATCTTTCTCTCCTCCCCACTCATATGCCTGCATGCAGTCATTGGCTCACTGCTGGGGATAGTAGCAGGTAAGTCAGAGCGCCGCGCCCCCAGCTCTGCACTTCCTCCTCCATCCTGGATCCCTGACCCCTAGTCCCTTCCTGAAGGGTCTGTTTCTAGGGGAACAATGCCTTCCCCTACTTCTGGACCCCACCTGGAAGCAATCTGAGTTCTCATCCTGCCTCTGGTCCTGCCCGCCTTGCCCACTAGGACTCAGCCTCTCGGCTCCATTTGAGAACATCTACGCTGGCCTCTGGGGGTTCAACAGTGCCCTGTCCTGCATTGCAATTGGAGGCATGTTCATGGCACTCACCTGGCAGACCCATCTCCTGGCTCTTGCCTGCGGTGAGTAACACCGTATGGGGACGGGGCAAGTCATTTGTTACTCTGGGCTTGAAAGCAAAGGGGGGGGGGGGACAAACTTTTAAAAAAGAAAGTCAGTGTGATAAATTGGGGGTGGGGTTCCAGTTAGGATTCCCTGTTTTCTAAGTATGTCCCCAGGTAATTTCCAGCCCTGTAAAAGGCTCCAAGCTAGGCTGCTGCTCCATGGGGTGTGGTGAAGACAGGCGCACCCTATTGGGCCCCACTAGCCAGTTGCCATACCTCTAATTGAGGAGTAGCCTTGACTATCCCTTGGTCCTTCCTGAACTATTTGACCTAAGGAGCCAAAAGGAAAGTGCTTAAGCTAAATCTGGAATGCATTGGTCCTGCCCAATCACATGCCATTATCTAGGGTGCTGAGAGAACAATGCTAATGCAGTCATTCCCAAATTTGAGGGTTTGGTAGGAAAACCATTTCAAAAGCTTGTTAGTTATTGCTGCCCCTCTTCCACCCCTTCCTGTCCTGCTCCAGAATCAGACCTGGTGTCATTGCTGGGGAAGTTGGGGAGGGGGCTATATTTTGAGCGAGGTATCTGATGGGTCTGAGACTGCCCTGGGGGGTCAGGATGTGAAAACCACTGTGTTAATGAACCTCTTCAAAGCCCTACTCTAACCAGCAGTGATACCCCTGGAAGGTATTCTGGCCTTGCCGTACTGCATCCTCCTAACTTGGGGTTCTGAGCCCAGAGAGGTAGAGTAAGGCATCAGTTCAGCATAAATGCCAACTCAGATCCCATCTTCACAGTTAACTTCCCTGTCTGTTCCACCCATAACCCCTTCCACCCTGGCCAAGTTCTCTTCAGCTGTCCAGAGTAACCTTCAGTCCCTATGGCAAACCTATTGGTCTCATAGCCTCTCTTCAAGGAACAGTGATGGAAGACTAGAAAAGGTGCAGATCTTCATTGTAATCTAGTGGGAATACTTGTCCAGACTATTGATCAACTGAAGGACCAGTGCAATAGTAGTGCTGGGATCAAACCTGGACAGGTCATGTGCAAGGAAAGATCCTTACATGCTGAACTATTTCTCCAGTCCCTTACCAACTGACTCTTGTCAGGAGATGGGAAGGGTCGCAGCCCTCCCTGGCATACATTTGTGTATTGAGTAGGCAGCAGGAAGTGAAAATATTTTTCTCCTGCTCCCTGAATAGAACTTTCTGCCTCTTCATAGTCAGAACCCTGGGATTATAGTATGTTCACTTGGCTTTTTCCAGATCATCTCCCCCATCTTAAAATCCTTAACAAAATCCCAACCACAGAGTTGCTTTTGTGGAATAGACATGGGTTCTAAGGATGAGGAAAGGACATCTTCGGAGGTGACCATTGGCCTCCCATGCCTTCCTTTGTATAGTTCAGATTTTCTTTGCTAAAACAATGTAATAGTTAAGTCACTCCCCTGAATTTGTAAAGAGCCAAATCCCAGTGCCAAAATCCCAGCTCTGTTCATTTAAATTTCACCAGAAGACAGCTTCACCCTCACAAAAGTCATACCAATTTTTCCTTTCATTCACATTATGTGAGGTTCTGTTTCATCCTCACTGGGTACTTTCGGCCTCTTTAATCTTTGAACAAGACAGACATTTTGAGACAGACTTCCAGCCCCTCTTGTCAAGACAGCCTCACATGTAGAATACCATGACAAGTTTCAGCTTGCCCATATCACCCTGATACTGCCAAGCAAATGACCAGCCTTTATTTGTCAGCCAGAGTAAATAAATAACAGCCATTTATTGTGGAACTGCTCTCTTCATCATTCTGATGACTCTTTTGGGCAGAGGAATTCTAATAGAACCTGGGGTCATGCTGCCTTTCTCCAAACCTGAAACTATATTGCCAGGGAATGTCTTGAATTTCTTATTTCTTTTCCAGTTTTTTCCAGCAAAACTATAAACATGTTTTGCATCTCTTTTTCATGGTTGGGTTCTCATAGTGGGATGCACTCGTGGCAGCCTGTTGGGAGAAAGGTTGTTTACAAAGAACTAAAAGGCTGTTTTCCCTTAAGCACTTAGCACATGCATAGCATATACTCCAGCCCTTAGCCATCTCCCTGATCCCTGGGTAACAGTTATTCTTTAGGCTGCTTCACGAACATCTTTGAACCCCCTCTTCAATGCATGCTGAGTAAATGATCACTTTTCCCTTGAGATATTTGCCTTTGTTGTTGTACACTGAAAGTCACACAGACACTTCAATTACCTACAATTAAGATTTATTCTCACTGAGCTGGAGAGCTAGTACAGGAGGTAAGGAGCTTGTCTTGCATGCAACTGATCCAGGTTCGATCCCCACACCACCTGGTCCCCTGAGCACAGAGCCAGAAGTAGCCCCTGAGCACCAGTGGGTGTGACTCCACTCACCCACAATTTTTTAAATTTTAAAAAAAGTCATTCTTGCTCAAAGTGAAAGAAAAGAGCATGTGACTTCTTGACCTGTGTGCCATCTCAATAATACTGGGGGAAATGTGGGGAGAATGTCCAAGCTGACAGTCATTTTCTGTGATCTCTAAATTGCTACCTTGCTTTATAAACCATTGCTTTTTATAGATACCTTGTAACCCTGAATTTTTAATCACAGATGTAGAAGGATGGTACAGAAACCACATAGCTCAAAAAACACTTAGAAATTTCATTTTAATTCAACTGATTGAAATTCAACTTATTGAAATAAGCCCAAAGGAAGCTTTGTCTTCTACAGAAGGACCTAAGCTATAACAATACAGCAACACAATAGTAACCACAGACAAGCCACCTTGACTGGGCACTCTGTCTGCCAAGTCCAGACATTAACTCTTTTTATTCCTATACAATCTGTGAAAGATATTTCCATTCTCTTCATGGCAGAGGCAAGGGATTAGAGGCACCAAGCTTGTGAATGGTAGAACCCAAATCTGAACATCGAATTGCTGACCTTAAGCTCACACTTGTAACCAGGGTATGGGGTTAGCTGGGAAGCTGCCATTCCTAGGGGTTTGGGTCAGGGGACAGTTTCTCTGGTAAGGAAAAGTACACCATGCATTGTTCTTTCCTCTTTTTTTTGTTGCAGCCCTGTTTACTGCCTACTTTTCGATCAGCATGTCCCATATGATGGCTGTGGTGAGTCCATGTGCTCCTGCTTCAGCAGCACAGATCAGTTCTCTTTCCTGTGGGAATGTTCCCGGTGGAGGAGGGGGGAAGGGACTGCATGGTGATGGGGGAAGGGCCCAGGACACTGATACTCGCTGCTGCCTGGTCTTGCTCCTCAGCTTCCGTCACCAAGTAAATGTCAATTCTAGGTACCAGCACCAGCATACCCTGGTACATTTTTCAGCATGCTGAAAAACAGTGTTTGCTTGACTTCAAGAAGGGGAATTTAAGTTGAATAATGTACTATCTGTATCATATACTGATTGTTAAGAAGTTGAATTCAGAATAATCCTTTCCCCTCCTTTCCTTCCTCTGTTGATAGTGTGTTGCCATGATATGGTGTCACACACTTTCCTGTACTGCTCAAACATTTAGTTATAGGGTTCACACACATGCCTGCCGGGGTCACTCTGGTGTTTGCATATGGGCTTGTAAGGGGGTCACCATTGTGCTCACGTACATGGTCTCCAGGGGTCACCCTGCAGGACACAAATGTGTTACCCTGGGGGCCACGTTGAAGGTCACACACATGCTCCCCAGAGGTCGCGCCAAGGGTCACACTCCTGGCCACAGTGCTGGCCTATCCTTCCCCACCCCTCTCCTTTGTTTTTTGGGTCACACCCAGCAGCGGTGCTCAGAAACCAAATGGGATGCCAGTGACAGGCCCTGTATCAACTGCTTGCAAGGCAAGTGCCCTAGCCACTGTACTATCTTTCCAGTCGCACTGACCTATCTTTTTAGCTTCTGGCACATGCCTGACTGTGGTGTGGCCAGAAGTCAGTTGCAGCATAGAGCAGCTCAGACAACAAAGCCAACAGCCATAAACGTCAGAGCTGCAGGGTGACATTCAGCCCCTATGGAAGCACCAGACACAGACCTCTCGGCCTCACACTTCCACAAGGCTACTGTCTTGATACTCAGTTATGCCAACTTGAGAATATCTTTCAACTAAAATCCCAGTTGTCAGTGTGGTTTTTTTTGTTTGTTTGTTTTAATCAGGTCAGTAGTTTTTCACACCTCTTGTCTTTGTGTGAAGCCACACTTAGTCATCAAGACATAATTGGACCCAGCTCCTGGCTGAATTATTTCATGGGCAAACTCCTTGCCCATTAACTGCCTCCTGACACTGTCCTTCCATTTCAGAACTGTCTTGCCTGTGGATCTTCTCCATCCTGTCTTCTGAGGAGCTAGTACCTCTTGACTGTCCACCATACTTCCCCTCTCAGTAACCTTGGCTGATTCTCTCTCCCTCGACCTAGTTATCGGTGACAAAAGCTAGTCTCTGCCAGCCCCAGCCATGGGTGTGAAGTTTTGACTGCTAATGGATCAGACTGTATCAATCCATCTCAACAGCAGGCAGCAGAGCTGATCAGCTGATCTGATCTTTTGCAGATGCACTGTCTGTGTGGCAGGAAGTCAAATCCCTGTCGCAGGCCCTTCAACATGTTCACTGGAGCATTGTGGACCCTTTTACATGCCAAAAAGAAGGTTCAAGGACTCTGATCTCTGAGCCAAAAGTAGAAAGACTTTTCCCTAGCAGCAGCTAGGGGGATTTGTAAACTACAAATCCTTAGCTTCTGTTCTTTGGCATATCTGATAAAAGTGGCTCTTGAATGGGGCTTGGAACCTATATTTTTTGAAACTCCTCCAAGGGATTCTGTCAGGTCGTCAGAATTCCACCCTAGGAGCCAGATCCAGGGCATAGTGTCTGCTCAGTTTTGCTTAAGAAGGATCTTACCCTTGTGGAGCTTAGAATGAGAAGCCAGAATAAGGAGCCATAGTGAGAAGGAGAATAAGCAGAACCTAAGAGCTAGCCTAAGGGAGAGAGGATCCCATCGGCTGAACTAACAAAGGTGGCTGTGTGCATGTTATGAGTGATTAGAGACCAGTGGTGGTTTGCTAAGTGTCATCTCTGTGCCCTCTGGTATGGGACATCTTAGTGGAAGGGTTGGAGGGAGAGGCAGACAAAATAGACATGTAGTAGAGCAGTAAAGAATGTAGGATAACAAAGATTTAGACATATTACACACCCCAATATCTTAATCTCTGTAGGGACAAGCCCCGGGACTCACCCCTCAGACTGAAAAGCACAGGGGGCACCATGTGGGCTCACTTCCTGATAGGGATACCAAGAATCATGACCATGTCTCTCCTTCCCCAGTTTGGCTTGCCAGCCTGTACCTGGCCCTTCTGCTTGGCTGCGCTCCTTTTCCTCTTGATCACCACGGGAAACCGCAACATCTACAGAATGCCGCTGAGTAAAGTCACCTACACGGAAGAAAACCGAATTTTCTATAAGCATGCTAAGAAAAGGATGGCGGAAAGCCCTTTGTGAGAACAAGGTCAATGTTCACCACGGCCAAGGTCACAAGGCATTTCTGACCCCCTGCCTGGCAAACTGTCATTTTCACTGCTAGCAACTTTCATACTAACACTCCGGTGATCTGCTCTTAAGACATATTTTTGGTTTTTCATTTTAGACTCCAAGAACATCTTCAGACATGGGAGCAATATATCCCATGGGTGTGCTCTGGCTGGGGAATTTTAAACTCTAATGGGTCCTTGGCACTAAGACTGTCCCATGTTTATGAGTCATGGTGCTCCAACAAAAAGAAGGGAGGCTAGAGCTAGATATTGATTTATTTTTATAGATTCATCATATTTGATTGCTTAGATGACGCTAACAGTATTAAACATTAAGCTCTATGAACCTACTGAGCCTCAGGTGAATGGAACTCACAATCACAAAATCAAGGTCAACCTGGTATTCTCAGCTAAGCAGGCTGGCTTGTTAAAATCAATATAAGTTGCACATTGTAGACATGGTTAGCACTGGGGATGGGAGTGGGGAGACAGGAGCAGAGCAGATTGTTCACTGAGCTTATTCCTGGGTTCCTTAGTCTTGATGTTTGGGGGTGGGAGATGTTGTTTTCTTTTTCCAACTGATGAAGCTACAGGAAGGATAAAGAGATTTAATTAGTACAATTTTTCTATTTTGTCACTTTCCTTAGGAAACTGAAAAAGCTTTTTAAAAAAAATTTTTAATTAGTGAAACACCATGAGGTATAGTTGTAGACTTACACATTTTTGTGCTTGGGTTTCAATTATACAATGATCGAGTACCCGTCCCTCCACCAGTACCCATTCTCCACCACCACTGATCCCAGTATCCCTCCCACCCACCCCCACCCCACCCATCCTACCCTGTCTCTGTGGCAGGGCATTCTGAAAAGGGTTTTTTTTACTGTATTTTTTCTTCCTTAGAGTAGCTTTGTTTTTCAGTGACATAAAATAAGGGAAGTTCTTGGCTTACTCAGTTTCTTGATATTAAAGAACTTTTCTGTTTTTATACAATGCTAACCTGACTTTTTTAATGCCACCAATTCATTAAAATCAAGTCATGCACATCCAAGAACCCCTTGCAATCACATTTTCTATTCATCTGAAATATGGTGTTTATAAAAACTGAAAGTGAAGGTCAAAGTTCTTCCAGAAGTTTTGAAGTTGTTGAAGTTCTTTACTTTTTTACTTAAAAAACAAAATCATTCTTTTCCACATATTTTACCATACTCTTGCTCAGGATCCCAGAATATCTGTATAACCAAAGAAATCCAAGTAAGTAAAAGATTGTGCTGTTTTGCCAATTAAACATTATCATTCTATAAAGATCCGGTAACCCAATATGCTGAAGATGGTGGTGAAAAATATGTTTATCATCTTCCACCTGAATCTGTATGAACTCAGCATTTTGGAGGATGAGAAACATGAAAGTCTGGAATCTTCAAGGTTTTCCTGAGCTTGCAATGCTCAGTGCAAAATGCAGTGTGCTGAGTGAAACAATGACAATAAAGGAGAAGGAAGTCACCTTACTGACATCTGAAAGAGAAATTCACTTCTTTTTCTCAGGAAAACACTGTTTGCTTCATAAAACCCTGTGGCCAGAGAACCTTCGAAACCATGAATCTGAAAGTCATAAATTCATGTACATTTCTATGGGAAAAGTTAATTTTCAATGGTTGAACTGAATTTCCTTGGAAGGGAATTTATGAAATAAAAGATGAGGGGACAGATGTGGACAAAGAAGAAGCATCAGTTAAGATAACCAGTAGGGAAGCCAAGGGCCCGTGTCTAGGATGTAGCATTCAGACATGTGCTAAGTACATGCTTCCTCCTTGTGTGCTCTCAGACTTGTAAATAGAAATATTTAAAGTCTTACATATTTGCAGAGCCTGGCAAGCTCCCCGTGGTGTATTCGATATGCCAGATCCAGTAACGACAACAGGTCTCATTCCCCTGACTCTCAAAGAGCCTCCAATCGTTGGGAAAAGACGAGTAAGAAGAGGCTGCTAAAATCTCAGGGCTGGGAAGAATAGAGATGTTACTGGCGTCCACTTGAGTAAATCGACGATCGACAGGATGACAGTGATATTTGCTACTTTAAATGGCTTTCATTTTCCCAAGCTATTTTTTGTTATTGAGTATTGTTCTAAAATTAAGTATTTTATTCATTTTTTGAGAGAACCCTCGAATTCTTTCATATTTTCATTTAACCAATTTCTATGTAAGAGTGTTAATAAATAATACTCACAGCTCAGCTTCGTGTAAATTATGTTTGTAAGTCTTAGTTACCTTTTGACTAACATGTATATTAGCAACCACATGTCCAACTCTGTATTGCTTATATTTCCTAGTGTCCAAATTTTTAGATCTTTCTTAAACTTTATAAGAACACCAGATGTGTGAGTGAGCAAAGCCCTATTCAATTTCATATTTATGGGCTCATCCTCCCAAGTATCCATTGTTGAAATGAAAAAGTCACTGATGAAACTGAATTGTTAAGGGCTATTCAGGGCATATTCCTATCATCTGAGATTAATTACTCTGAGATTCCACTTTCATGAATCTCCATATTGGTTATAGATGTCCCAACCAAGCTGATGAGCTGATCTTGGACCAGCATGAGTGAGAGGGGAGTTGGGGAAGGAGGAGGGTCAGCGTTTCAGTATCAGTGACTTCTCATATTCTGTCCCTTGGGTCAAAGTATTACTTTCCTCCGCCACCTAAAACACTTGTCCTCCACTTCCCTTTGCCTGTGTTTAACATATGTGAAGTAAAACATAGTAAGAATGAAAATTTACCCCAGAAAATTTCAAAGGCAACCCAAGAAGGATAGGAAACAAGAAGCAAATAAGAAGAAGCCACAATGGACAGGCTCCTTTGTAGTGCCCTGTCAAAACAAAACCTCTCTCATCAATTGCTATTCTTTCAAGGTTATTAATTTACAAGAGTGAACTGGTCATTAAATATTCCAGTTGGTCTGAGGTAGAAAACTGAAAATTTTAAGGTCCTTTTGCCAAAGACTCCAACATTATATACCATGAGGAGCTGTAGGTGCCAATTTGTTCATTACTCATGATACCTGGTTAGCATGGAGCATGTTGGGATGGTAGGTCAAGTTTCATGAAAAGATAAGAACCTTCAAGGAATTTCTGACAACCTTGCAAGAATATTTGCGTGCTTGGTAAATACAAATGGAGGTTCTGTAGCTTGACCCTATTCAAGAACTTCCTTCCAAAGGCATTATTCTCTACAGTGTAATCTCTTTGTCCCTACATTGATATCTCCACCAACTATTAGAAGGTATGGAGTTCTAAGACCAAACAGTTTTATCTGCTAAAATAATCTGTGGCATAGATCCTGAAGAAATCTAAACAAGAATAGATAAGAGTGCTTTAAAGAAGAAAATATAGGGGCTGGAACAATAGTACAGTGGGTAGGGCACTTACCTTTTATACAACTGACCCGAATTTGATCCCTGCTGTTCCATATGGTCCCTGCAAGCACTGCCAGGAGTAACTCTAGAGTGCAGAGCCAGGAGTTATCCCTAAGCATTTCTGGGTGTGGCCCAAACCCTCCAATTTTTTAAAATTTTAAACATAAGTAAGGGAATATAGTTTCATTAGAGTCCTCTTTCCCAGCTCTTAACCATGAAAGCTTGTAACTATCTCACAGTGATTCAATAAAATTTTAAAAAAAAAACAGAAAATACATACTCTACATCAGAGAAGATCTGAAAAAAAATCTTATAGGAAAAGACTGCTCCTACGTCTAGACTGCTCCTACGTCTGACCCTTATTTCCTTAAGGAGTAGGCAGTAAGCGTTAACATACCTAAGCAAGTTTTGGGGGATGACAGGTCATCTACTGAAACCTAGAAGTTGAAGGCAAGTATAGGCAAGAGGTCATCACTGGGCACAGTAGCCCAGACAGTATAAAAGGAAATCTTTGTGATGGACTTGTTATAGTGTGGTCCCCTGGTTTAGCAAATAATCATTTAAATCAAGCAGCTAATGCCACTGATCTCATGAGCTATTTGGCTTCAGGTGTAAATTTGACTTCTGAAGAAATAAAACCTCCCCCAGGAGTTTCTGATATATGATGGTAGCTCTTCTTATTTTAACTGATAACTAATCTTGATATACAATTCTGTTAAGGGTTTTATTTGCTTATAGAGGTTATCCAAAGCCCAATAACCTGATGAGGCTGATCTGACAAAGTTAAATTTCTGAGGTCACAAGACCAATAAAGTTGAGGAGTGTCAAGGAAGGCCTCCATGAGGTCCTGATGTTTAGGCTGAAATTGAAGAACAGATGGAGGAGATGGCAGGTAGACTAAGGTGAAGGAAGACAAGAGGGGTATATGTTTTGAATGGAGGAATGGTTTAGGTCTATACACATTGGTGCTTAGGGCTTATTCCTTGATCTGTGTTCATGAATAACTCCTGGTGGGGTTACTATGTGCAGTATCAAGGATCAAACCCAGGTCTATCACATGCAAGGCCTTACCCACCGTACTCTCTCTCTCCAGCCCCAGCAGTGGTGTTATATATAGAGGGAGCCTTGTGGAAAAAATCCTGGGACAAGAAGATGGGAACTTTCAAGGAGGGAGAGAAGATGATTGTGGCTGGGATTACAATGAGTGAAAGGGCTTTGCAGTGAATTAAGAAATCAGAGTAGATGATGCAAGATGTGATGAGTTTCATCTCAAAGCGTGGGCACAAGGGGCTGGAGCAATAGCACAGTAGATAGGGTGTTCGCCTTGCACGCAGCCAGCCCGGGTTTGATTCCCAGCATCCCATACGGTTCCCTGAGCACCGCCAGGGGTAATCCCTGAGTGCAGATCCAGGAGTAACCCCTGAGCATTGCCAAAAAAGCAAAACAACAACAACAAAAAAAGAGTGGGCACAAGGAGGATGTAATAAAAAGAAGGTAGAATCCTTAGGACAACAGGTCTATGTCAGGAGTGAGGAGAGAGAGGGGTCAAGAAGGATGGTTTTCTAATTGCCTGTTTGACATAAGGGGAGGCTGGTTGTGCCACACAATGTGATGTGAGATTGGAGCATCATATTCTTCCTCATAACCTCATCCTTCTCAACTATTGGTTCAAATTTTATGTGCCAGTCACTACAGACTTTTACCAAAACACCTCCTCAGTTGCAACACAGCCAGGACAAAGCTCATCTCCTTCAACGCTCTGCTTCCCCTCCCATGTTGACTCATCCAGAAAATTACCACCCTCCAGCCAGCCAGCCACTGATGTAGACACAGAATATCATCCTTGATGTCATTTCCACCTACAGACAACAGCCAAACTCTAGAGATTCTTCCTCCAGATAGGCACGTGAATCCATCTATTCATGGGGACATAATTATTGAATGGCTTTATCATATATTGAGAACTGGGGTGACAACAGTAAACCAGTCTGTCACAATCTCCTTCTTCATGTGAATCTTATGGAGTTAACTGACAAGCTACTGAGTGAATGGTGTGTTGAAATGAGGAGACAGTCAGGCAACAAGATTGAGGGAGGTGTATTCCAGTGACTTCTCCCTTTAAGAAAAAAGAACAAATCATTTTTTAAAAAATTTTATTGAATCACTGTGAGATAGTTACAAGCTTTCGTGTTTGGGTTACAATCACACAATGAGAAAACCCCCATCCCTCCACCAGTGCACATTCCCCACCACCAATATCCCTGGTATACCCCCCTTTCCCACCCTCCCCCTGCCTCCATGGCAGACATTATTCCCCATTT